AGGGACGGCATGCCTGATTCAGTATATAGGCTCTCAACTGGAGAGGAGCGGAAGGCGCCTAGGGCTAAGCGGAGACCGCTGTGGTGGGCTGTATCAAGGTGAGCAAGAAGAGAGGTTGAGGCAGAGGAGTAGATATGGCATCCATAATCTAGAGTGGAGAGAATCAAAGTAACATGAAGATGGATGAGAGTTTTGCGATCTGAGCCCCAGGAGATATGTGAAAGAGTTTGTAAGATTCGGAGGCGACGTTGAGCTTTTTCTTTGATGTACAAGATATGGTCTCGCCAGGACAATTTGGAATCAAATATAACGCCTAGGAATTTGCCAGAAGACCGGTATTGGAGTGGAGCATTATATAAGAAGAGTGGGGGTTTGGGGACCGTACGTGAGCGAGAGAAAAGGATGGGGAAAGATTTAGAGGTAGAGAAGCGAAAGCCATGGTTGGTGGCCCAAGAAGTTACTGATGTTATTGCAGACTGAAGGAATTGACAGAGATCTGGTATGGATGTGCCAGATGCATAGATGGTTAAGCCATCAACATATAGTGATGCTCTGGCTCCTGGTGGTAGGACTGAGACTATGTCATTTACAGCAAGAAGAAAATAAAGTGGTACTAAGTACACTTCCTTGTGGGACGCCTTCGAATTGAGGAAAGGATGAAGTGGAAGAGGCAATCTTGACCTGGAAAGTACGTTTAGAAAGGAAGGATTTAATGAAAACACCCATGTTTCCACGTAAACCTAGGGAGGACAATTGTTGGAGGATATGGTATCGCCATGTGGTGTCATATGCTTTTTCTAGATCAAAGAATATGGCTAATACGGATTCATGGCGTGCAAATGCCGATGTAATGTATGTCTCGAAATGGGCAAGTAGGTCTGCTGTACTTCGAGCACGTCGGAAACCAAACTGGGAAGGGGAAAGGAGATTATGAGATTCTAGGTACCACATTAAACGGAAGTTAACCATTCGTTCTAGTAGTTTGCACAAGCAGCTAGTTAGAGCTATGGGGCGGTAATCTTGGGGTAAGGTACCTGATTTATTGGGTTTTAAGAAAGGTAGGATAAGAGCATCTCGCCAATGAGAAGGAAAATTTCCTGACGTCCATATGTGGATGAAAATAGTTAAAAGGAAGGATAGAGAGGAAGATGTGAGCGTGTCGGAGCATACGATAGTGAATACCATCAGGGCCTTCATGAGTGTTGCGGCACGACTGTAATGCAGCGTTGAGTTCAGAAGAAGAAAAAGGAGCATTATAGGACTCATCAGAGGATAGGGTGAAGGGAAATAGGGGTGTGTTCCCTGATGGTTTTAATGGAAGAAAAGTATGGGGAAAGGTGAGAGCCACTACTGACCTGGCTGAAATAGTTGCCCAGTTCATTAGCTACTTCGACAGGCTCAGAGATGAGAATATCTCGAATATGGAGGACGGGTGCAGGATGGGGGGGATGTTTGCCTGATAGTTTATGGATCCGTCGCCAAACAGCTGAAATAGATGCAGATGTAAATGAGGAAACATAATTTTGCCAGCTATTTGTTTTGCTGTTTTTAATTGTACGGCGAAGATGGGCAGATGCTCTTTTAAAGGAAATAAGGGCTGATAGCTGGTGAGGGGTGCCTCGTTTGTAGCGATAGCTGTTCCAGGCTGCTCGTTTTAAGCGAAGCGCTTTGGTGCAATCAGAATTCCACCATGGAACACATTTAGAAGTATAGGGTTTTGAAGTTCGAGGAATGGCTGTATAGGCAGCTCTTAGGATCGTGGTTGTAAAACAATGTAGCATATCTGAAATGGACGGTAAGGGGGTGGAGGGATAGGTATAGTAGAGAGTGAAGTGAAAGTATGCCAGTCAGCTCTATCAAAGCACCAGCGTGGAGGATTAGGAAGTGGTACATATGAAGTAGGAGAAAGGAGTATTGGGAAGTGGTCACTATAGGGGAAGTGGTCTAGAACTGACCAATGGAAATCTAGATGTAAAGTAGGAGAGCATAGAGAGAGGTCAAGGCATGAAAAGGATTGTATGCGCATGTCAAAGTGTGTGGGGCGATCTGAATTAAGAATAATTAGGTTATTTGTGAAGAGGAAGCGTTCTAGAGATCGGCCTCGGGAGTTGGTGGTAGAGTCACCCCACAGAGTGTGGCGGCAGTTGAAATCACCAACTATGAGGAAAGGTGGTTGGAGTTGGGAAATTAGAGTCTCAAAGGTAGTAAAGTCAATGGGATGGGATGGGGAGAAGTAGACTGAAATCACTGTGATCCAGCGGCGAAGAAAGATGCGAATAGCTGTGCACGGGACAGAAGTTTGTATGGGAGGTATGACATAAGGTGTTTTATGATGGATAAGTATACACGAGACATAAAGGGAGTGTGGGGAAGAGATAAAATGGTAATTGGGAATTGGAATTGGAGGGTGTGTGAGGAAAGTCTCTTGGAGGCAGATAATAGATGGATTATAAGAAGCAAGGATATGACGTAGGTCTGACCTATGAGAGCGGAAACCGCGAATATTCCAATGTAGGAGAGCTATATCCTAGTTGATTTACGAATGATAACACAAGTACGTGTTGGGGAATTTGCAGGGGAAGGAGCTAGGGGGTGTAAAGGAGGGATATTAGGAGGTAGGGAATCTGGAGAAGGGCATTGTTGTGCCATGAGTGATTCTCGTGTGTATCCGGGAGGGAGTGCAAAGGATAGAGGGGATGGAGGGAGGGAGAATGTGCCTATAGTTGGAGTTGAAGGGGGTGGGTTGTGTTGGGAGAGAGTAGATGTGTGGGGAGTATTAGTGTTAGGAGGCTGAATATCGGAAGGATGGGATGAAGGGGCAAGCCTTAATACCCCTGTTAAGGGTAAAGAATCTTCATTATTGGCCATGTGACCCTGAATAAACGGGGAAAATGGTTTGCCCTTCAGGGTCTCCATAAGGGGTAAGGGCCAGGTAATTAACCAAGGGAATACCGTGCCCATGGCTCCCGGAGGCCGTTCGTGACTGACACAAAGCCAGGTATTGGGAGGGAGTATGGAGTATAAGAAAAAGCTCATCGACGTGCTTCTTGTCTGTCTGCACATAGAGTGAGACCAAGTCTGTATCTGAGAGTTGCCACCTCATTTTGTAGGTATGGCAGCCCCTATAAAATACATTATGGGGGCCACCACAGTTAGCACATGTGTGTGACTGTGCAGAGCACTTTGATCGGTTATAACCAGGCTGGGCACATAGACGGCATCGGGCTGTGGAACGGCAATGTTTGGCAGGATGTCCTGAACGCCAACAGTTTTGACATTGACAGGGAGGGATTCTCCACCAATGTAAACATTAAAGGGAAGGTCATGTCTGTGTAAAGTAATTCTGGCAATGTTGATGGGGTTCTTAAGATGAGCTCTAGGAGGAATGGAGTAGCAATGTACTGATAGTACATCATAGTCCGTGAAGCAGGCGAGTAAGTCTCCACAATATGACCAATCTTTGTTATAGATAGGGCAGTTTGCTGGGGAGATGAAGACCATTCTGGTACAAGTATTAAGGGCTGGATGAGGTTCTGCAGGAATGGGGTTGCCAGAGAGTTCAGTTCCAGTTGATAATGCTATAGCTTGGGTTTCGGATGTAACTGTGACAAGACGGGAACGACTGGGTTGGCTACAGAGACTGCCTACTTGTTTTTGGAGGTACTGCTGAAAGAGAAGAGTGTTTTCAGAGGAGCTGCAAGGGGGATCATGAAAAATTGGTCTCATTTGGTTGGGCTAAATAAAGCATTTAAGATGTTTGTAGGGATGGGGGTAGTAGAAGGACGGGGACGTGTGCAAGAGGGAGTATTGTTGAGGAAGGTAGTATTACGGAGAGGTGGACAATAAGGCAAAATAGTAGGATGGAGTGATTAATGATGAAGGTTGTGGGGGTAGAGGTGATGAAGTTGAGAGAGTAGGAATGTCTCCTGGAGATTGAGTAGTTGCAGTGTTCAGTGTCATGGTCAAAGAAGACCCTGGGGTCGGGAAACCGGGACAGTTTTAATTAATGGGGCTATTTGATGAAGGGGCAAGCCTCATTGCCCCTAAGAAGGGTATAACATCTTCATTACTGGCATTGGTAAGCCTAGACTATGTTGGGGAAAGAAACAGTCAGGTCCCTTTGAGGTGTAAAGGATAGACAACTAAAACAGGGGAATACCATGCACATGGCTCCCTCAGGCCATTCAGGATTGGTACAAAGTCATCCTTTCATCCTTTCTCACACCTTAGGAAGTGGATAGTAGACTCTAATAGAAGGGTTTGGAGAAAGGACAGAAACAAAAAAGCAGGAGGGGGAAAAGACCATGCAAAATTAGTCGAATCGAGGGCTGAGGCCCAAGTTAGGGAGATCCCCAGCATTGGGTCTTAGTCCTAAGCCCCCCACGACAACAATGGGCATGGGATCGGGGGACATTCAAACAAGAAATGGTATCAAGACGCATCCAACATGAAAGACCACTATGTCTAACAGGAAATGAAGGAAATGATTGGTTGTTACAATGTTACTATTATCCGATTGAATGTAGTTCAATTCGTCAATTTCTCTTTACAGACAATTATACTGGTAATCATTAATCTTCATATTGATACAGATTGACAAGCCTCAGCTGAATTATTTTGTACTACCTGTACATACAGGTCCTCAAACGAAGAGTATCAGGGTTCTTAGCTCAACATTCCTTCCCTATAATAGAAACCGAAATCTGTCAATATTTTTCTTTTGTAAATTTTCTTTGCTTAAAATAGTTTTTGCAACTTGATAATTCTTAAAAATTCTTAGTCAATATTATTGAACCACTGGCTGACTCATGATATGAAAACAACATTTCCTTTTGAGAGAAATTATGGCAACAGTTTCAATCTACATTATATTTTCTCAAATTAGAATGTGAAAATTCAATAATAATAATGCCAACGATTTAAAATTCCTGAAAAATCCAATATGAAAAACAACTGGAAAAAAATAACCTAAACTTGAGGAGATTGGTAATAAAGCCACATTTTGGAGGATCAACTGTATTTGCATACTGTATATAAAATATAAATATACACAATATTTACACCACCATCACAAAGCAATTGTTCTCAAAAACATAAATTTCTTGGCCTCCTTATCCACTCAACATATGTTATGACTGCACTGTTACAGAATACAGTGGCTCTTTTAGAGGTTTCTGTTAAAATATTTCAACAAATAAATAACAAAACAAAAATAAAGAAAAACACTATACAGCAGGAACAACTTTAAGGACCATTTTACAGACTATTTGTGCAAAACTAAATCATTGCATTTGCTCAAGTCAGAGACAGTCCTCAGGCTTGCAAGGTCTTGTTTCGTTCTTGTTGGAACCTAACTGTAGAGAACATTTATAGTGTGTACAAAGAAGTAAACCAGACTGATACTGATGACATTGTAAAAATCTGCACAGCTTTGCATGAGCAATGCTCTGTGATGTCTGTCTATTTTCCAGCGTTTTGTTGGGGAAAAATTCATAATTTGTAAAGAGTGACAGACATTAGGACTTACTAATAATATAATTATTACACAGAATATAAAAATACAACACAATGAAAATAGCAAAGAAGGACAAATAGCAGTTATTAAACTGAGATTAGCATAAATTCTCAATTACCTTCTTGTTTACTCTTTACAAGTGCATCCAAAGACTTGAGTAAAATCTTCCAGATATGTATGAATGGGAACTTTCAACAGCCTTCCAAGCGACAAAATAACTTGTAATGCAAGTTCCTATGGGTGTGATCAAAGAGCATTTCCACAGATTTTCACTTAATCATCATAAGGATTTCTAATGTTTAAGTGATAATAACAATAACATGAAAATTTAACAAAATGTATAATGATGATAGCATAGACACTGAAAAATGTAAATAATAAAAAATATAAAAATTGTATTTTCTCTCTTTTTACATTTAAAGTTTACTAATCATAAACATATAATTTCACTTGGTGAAAGTCAAACCTTTTCCATAAGAAAAAAGAAGAAAAAGAAGAAAAAATATATATATACATACTAGATGTTTACACATAAAAAATTGAGTACAAAATTGTTCAAAGAAAAAAAATCTATAAACCCACAAAAAAATGTTTTCATGCCTTACCATTTGCTTTGAAAAAAATACATATGCATATAAAAATTATTAATACAAAAAATAAATAAAACAAATAGTCTACAATGTGGTCTACACTTCAATCTAAATTTAGTTACAGTCCTCCTCATTATATCACAAAAAATGTGTATATGACATATTGATTCCTTACAATATTGTACTGTTTCACATTTAGTTCTTGTAAAATAAAAAGTGATGAGCAGATCTATCTACTGTGTCCGTTCACCCTGAGGCTAGGCTGGGTTGCCAAGCCCTTCTCCATGTTGGTCATTGAGTCAAGGAACTGGGACAGGAGCTTCACCAGGGAGTGCCTCTTGAATCGGCCTGCCTCATTCACCACTTCCTTCACGACCTTTAGCCGTGACTCATAGGAACCTTGCAAAGTGTTGAGCTGGTTGAAGAGTCTTCTGAAATCTGAGGATTTTTTTTGTTTTTTAATCCATTATCTTGTTTATTAGATTCTATATACTGTCTGTTTTTACAAATACAAGGTATACTTATGATACCTCTGCAGGCAAAGTCAGAAAATACTTACCTCTGCCAGGTTTCTTAACTTCTTTAAAGCACGCCATTCTGAGCTCCTTATTATAAACTTTTGTGGCTTGTGTATCTACTGGGTAATATGGTGATGTTCCTCTCTTTGGTTCAGTGTTATTCACAGGCCCATTCTTCTCTAGACCATCTTCAAAGATCATTTCTGGGGGAGGAGTGAGACTGGGTGCTGGGGGAGGTAGGTCGAAGTCATAGGCTTCTGATCCCACATCTTCATCTCTCATTGTTGGGGGTGGAGGTGTTACATCTGGAAATGAGTACAAGTGAATTTATAATTTACATCACCAATAAAAGAATAATAATTTGCACAGGATAGCTAGTTGAGCTTCGTATTTTTTTTTTTTTTTTTTGGGGGGGGGGGCAGCACATTAGTTCTAAAACCTGGAAGGAAGTGTGATTCTACTGAAAAAGCTAAAAGCAATAAAATCCACTTCAAGCACTATTAAATTCCAAATATTTTTTCATCAATAATAACAAGCAAACACTAACCTCCATTCAGCATATGGTGAAAATCTGAAGGGTGTGATGGGATCATCAGGTAAGGAAGGCGACGCAGGTGAGCCAGGAGGCGAGACACTCATGATGCCTGGGGAATACCCCGGGGTCGGAGTGCCAACATAGCCTGTGGGCTGGAAAACTGGGGTGTCAGGGCGCTCAGGTCTTGTCAATGCCAATGCATCTGACCGTAAATCTGGCCGTTCCTCCACTCTGCTGGGTGTTAATGATCCAGGTGGACTAGGAGCAGGACTAGGGTTGCCACCAAGGGAGGGAACAGGGCTCGGAGTGGGGCTGGGGCTCGGACACGGGCTTGGTGTAGAGCTGGGTGTTGTGGGAGGAGTGGGACTTGGGCAGGGGCTTCCACATGGGCTTGCATTTGGACTAGGACTAGGACTGGGGCACGGGCTGGCATTCGGACTTAAGCTGGGATTAGGGCTTGAGCTTGGACTCTTGTTGATCCTGTGGATAGTGAAGTCCATGGGCAAGGGGCCACGCCGACGTTTGTTGGGCCGGCCAGAAGGCGACTGAGTCTCCGCTGGACGCTTAGATCCCCGGCTGCCACCTCCTGCACTTCCACTCGACCCCATGAGGTCCACATCAGCTTCATCAACCATCATGGACATCTTCTGCAAGGTAAAAGATCATACATAATTTCTTATAGCAATCACAGTGTTACTTAAAGTAATTTTTGGATCAGTCAAAATTTTTGTTGATTAGCACACCAAATTAAGTATGTGGTACCCCATTTCAGCTTATCCCAGTTCTAGCTACCCTATTTTGGTCTTTCCATTGTGAGGTCCTCTAGTCTGGCCTATCCCAGTAAAGGCTACCCTACACTCAATGGCAATACACTGAGTGATCCCAAATTTCTGTCAAGGATATGATACCATGTTTTCCATTCGGAATAAGCTACAGACAAAGAAGGTCAACTAGGCATCTGCATGACTAACTCACACTGAAGAATCTGGGATCAGTTCCTCTCTCCCCCCCTCAATATGTTACTGCTAGGAAAGGTCAACTGGTTACCTGTTTGACCTTGGTTTACACAGAAGTGCCTAGGAAAAGCATATGCAAGCCATTTCATACCACCATTTTGGAATGGTTAAAAATATATGCAACTTAGTCACTTAGTTATTTAGTCCAAGTTCCATGAGCACTTCTCAATAATGATTATGTATACCAAGAAGAGGCCATGTCTTTAGTGATACTGGATAATTTTACAAGAGGATGTGCCAACAGCCACTGAATTAGATTAAGAAATTAGTGAAAAGGGATGGACCTGCATGGATACCTAAAGATTTACTGTAGTATGAAACATCTAATTTCAGCCTACCCAAGTTCTAATTATCCTGTTGTGGTCTTTCATACAACAAAGTACACCTGCTCAGCCTATCAAAATATGGGCTACCCTGAGCAGCCTGTGTAGCAAATGTTTTGCTTGAACCTATTTTGTTCTCTTAATAATTCTTACTTAGTCTGATCAGTTTTATGATACGTATAAAGGGAAAAAATTACACCAATAAAAGAATTACTACATCTATAAATGAAAAATATACACATAAAAAAAATAAAATAAAATAAAATTTATAATATATATATATATATATATATATATATATATATATATATATATATATATATATATATATATATATATACATATATATATATATATATATATATACATATATATATATATATATATATATATATATATATATATATATATATATATATATATATATATATATATGGGGGTGATTAGAGTGCATGTGTCTTAGGCTAAGTTAGTCTTAACCTTCCTACAGCCTTCCTTCCATTAACGACTTGCATGCTACCTTCCTGTGGTCCCCCGTTTTATCACAGAATGCATGCAAGCAACCTAGTGTCTGACGGTATAATCAGACCCCCCCTGCTGCCTTGTAGGGTATGCCTCCTTAGGTAAAGGCTAGGTGAAGGAATCTGGTGGACTAGATTATCGGCAGACCAATGCAACACCACACCACAGTCTTGTACGTCACACCTGAGTGCCGCAGGAGGAAGGTGTGGAGCCAGAGTGTGTGGGCATCACTTTGGCAAATTGTTGTCCACCCTAAACAAAGTCACGCCAACGGCCTTTTCAGTCCAACTACTGTCTCTCTAACACCCTCCTTATCTCCTTTCTCTTCCTCTCCTCCTAACCCTACCTAAAAGAGACTAGAGGCGATGGGACAAGGGTGGTGGGAGTAGGCTTGGTGTAGCTGGAAGCTCTTAGCCCGGACCTACACACTGGCGGCAGGCGTGTGATGAGAAGAGCCAACCTGGTAGCTAAACAACAGCAACGGGCATAAAGAACAAATCAACCACAGCCACCTCCCACAATTCAGTGCGATCAATGCCCACGATTATTCAGAGCACAAATTGGTCTTACGAGCCATAAGAAGGCTCACCACCCTAACAATAATTAACTATGACCTCCTCCTCTATTCAACCTTTATTGGACTGAAAACTAAGATATTCGGATACGAGTACATGCCAATGATGTATGTATATGTATATGTATATGTATATGTATATGTATATGTATATGTATATGTATATGTATGCATGTATGTATGTATGTATGTATGTATGTATGTATGTATGTATGTGTGTTATATATATATATTATATATATATATATATATATATATATATATAATATATTATATATTATATATATATATGATGAAGGAACCTACACACCCTAATGAAAAAACAAACAAACCTTATCAATCTTGAATGGATTTCCAAACATGTGTTGCCTCACTGGGGTTGATTCTATTTCACGGAGTGGTGGAGTCATCTTCTTAAGATAATCCTGAAATACAAATGACAATTAAAAAAATATAAATACAATCTAAAAAGAACAACAACGTCGCTTTAATTCTGTAAAGACGAGTTAAAGAAAATTAATCAAAAATCTGTTCACACAGAAGTTTTTTCACAATGAAATCTAATTGCTATTCTTTATCAGCAAAATACCGATATCCTAGGCAGCAGCAACACCAAACATGATGCAATGCAAATCAAAGTATGTGGGAAACTTTGTACCACACTTGAGCAAGATGTGGCACAACTTCACTAGAGTTAGGGTGGGAAAAGTTGAGTCGAGTTAACTTTACTCATCCTCAGTATACTGCCAGGGATGTTGAGTATTATTAATGAGGTTTTACACATCCCATACATCCAGAGTGTCGCAAATAAGATGCATAGGGATTGATTAGTTGTTCCTCTGCAGTGGAAGAGGATTGGGGATAAATTAGGAGTTAAAATTTTGTGTTCATTTTGATAAATAGCAGTATTAATTAGTTAATTATTATGGCATATCACTTCTTTAAAATCATTTCTTTACTGGTTTACATCCAAATTATTTCTGGATCTGAATGATCTCAAATGATCATATGTATCATGAATAATTGTTCATAATAAATAACAAATGATGAGACCTGCATTTCTCATGAATGATTATATCACTTTCTATCATGAACAATTATGGTTATATCTATCATAAGAAATCTTGTTCATATTTCTACCTATAATTTAATTTATATCTATTATAAACTATCATATTCACATGTTTCAAAGATAATTACATCTACAATTTTCATCAATAATTACATCTACTGTACATTTGAGGGTATGTTCTCATACCATTTGCATATTGTTTTTTTTTTTTTTAATTTAAGCTTTGATCTATAACATAATCCTCAATATCTTCACTTTAGACCCATTGGATCCAAAACTTCGCTGCCATCATGTGGCCCAAAATACAAGCATTAGGCTTACGTGGACAGACTCACGTGTGGTGAAAAGACTCCATGCCTCCACTTTGCTATTTTATTTTGCCTTTTTTAGCCTAAGCATTTTTAACATTTTTGACATTTCCCAATTTCTATACTTGTCATTTGATTTGCTTTATCCAAATGTAGTAGAGATTTTCTTTCTAATATTAAATTTTCTGTAATACAACCTGTACCTCCAGTCTTGGCGGGTAGGAAAAGGATTCTGAACATGGAAATAGCATCCTCTATGGAGCTGGCACTCTTCTAGTCATGGTTCACAGAGATTATATTCCACACTCATTGATCAATGGATATAATGCAATAAACCCCTTCATTAACACTAAATGAGTCTAATCACCCTCCAAGAGGTTTGTGCACTTGTAGTGAGTCTTTCCCGTTACACCAACCTTCAGTCAAAATGCTTAGGACAGCAAGTTTGCATCACCCTGGCCCACAGGCAAATTTTCCCATAATAGTATATTCATGTCACCCACCCCTTAAGCTAAATTTTTTCATAACGTGATGGTTATATCACCTGGATCATGATAGTTAATGCAATTATAATATAGTGAATCAATGTGAATATATATTTGATACTTATGTTGTAGATGAAGGTCAAAACCGATGTAACATTTAATAAGGGAAATTGGTCTGAGGCACCCTTTGAATACATACAACTTCATTTATCATAAATAAGCAAATCCATATTTATCATTGATAATTATATTTATCATAATTATATCCATAATTATGAAAATAATAAAAGGCGTGTTTAGTGATTTGTCAACCCAAACCTATTGTTGAAGTTTTGCTGGTTATCATGGCAATTCCCACATTCGCTCATGGTCAGTGTGGCTAACCCTCTACCCATAACTTCAAAACAGATTGCAGCTCGCCACTTTGTGTTGCATCACACTGCCTTTGGTGAGGCCACAGCCTTTACACAGATCGTGTCTTTATGAACTTACCTGATAATTACCCATCTGACTGATGGGCCGACAATGTAACTGGTCCACGTCACGGTCTGTTAAGAGATGTGGTAGTGAAGACTGTAAGAAAATAGAAAAAACAAAATTAATAGCTGTAGCATTTTATTTCAACACAAAACTAATGTCCCTTACAATAACATGAAAATTCTCATAATAAAATGTATATATTATTCCTTGTACTACAGCTCATACATTACAGTCCTCATCACTTACTTCTAGATTTAAGGGAACCGTCCCTTGGCAGGGGGAGGGAAGGGGGGGAATTTGGGGGTCAAGTTGAGTTAGCTAGCCTATTGTATAGATGCAAGAATGAGGAAACTACCAAACAATTTAAGAGCCTAGTTCAAGTTATTTCTTGGGTGGCACATGCGAGAGCCGCCATGTGTAGAGGAGTTACACCAGTAATAAGCACTCAGGTAGACCTGTGTGAATTTTTGCTTGTTGCAATCATGCATATATCATTTGATAATGACATTGTGCTCAGATATTAATTTGTGAATGTTCAAAAAAAAAAATTTATATCAATATCAGAAAAAAATAATAGCAGTGATTTATGACAAAATATTTTGTGAAATCTATCTAAAAAAAATGTGTTTTGTGTACTTTTGTACATGAAATATGCCTTCCATCGAGACTCCCTGGTTACATACTGTAGCTTACTAAGGGATCTGTATGTATACCGAGTACGAAGCACTAATGTCTGAAAATAGCCGTATAAATAATGATTTAAATATTTTGGTTTGAATTAGATTAACCGTTGGTACTTTCCAGTGTCAGTAAATTTGATTTGAATTGAAATTGGTCATTACCCCTGTAAAAACCACTTCAATACAAAAGGCACCTAAAAGTCAGATCTTTGAATTACCAATTATTTCATGTTGATGATAATAGTACACAGTAATATCTGCTCTGAAATAAAAACAAAGAAACTTGAAATCTTTTTATGCACAGTCTTCATCACATCCTTTTTATGCATTTTTGATAATAAAATATTACATTTAGACTTTACAATAGGTCCTGGATACCATAAATACACAAATATCCAGTCATACCTAGGCGTCTAATGATTTTTATGCATGTCTTAGCAAAGATAAAGGGTGCAAATGACTAAATACCAACTCTATACTCATTTCCCATTCAAAAATTACTTCTGAAACTTGATAAAGAAAATGGTTTGTTAGGGATAACTAATATACTTTTATTCCATTACATAAAAATTCCATGTACTTCAAAAAGAAATTTCATCTGGTTTAGCTTAGTTGTCTCAATGATTTAGTGCATATCCTAAAGTTTTTAAACAGAAATATCCACTTTTATACCTGAAAAGGAAAACACAAACAAAACAACTAAACATACCTATACAGAATACTGCCTCTAGTGAAAATGATAATTCCTATTGACTTGGTAATCATGGCATTGAAAAATACACTAAATAAGCTTTATATATAAAACATCATCAGATTTACCAAAAAATAACAGACAACAACATACTTTGGCAAGTGACCACAATTCCCTACGTTTTTCCTCCGATTCATAGTTTTCATGCGATTTAAACGCTTTTGCTAAGAGTATCAGTGATAAGGCCATGTGAATAGCCAATTTTTAAATTTTGGAATAAATCTAAAAATACAGATTATGTAATACTGAAATATAACAAAAAAGTTGTCACTATGCCAACCAGTCCCCCCCACCCCTAAAGAAAAGGAAATTAAAAAGTCAAGTTATTTACATGGCTTCAACATAAGATAGACAACAATATTTTTGGGGGGTAAATTACAACCATTGGATGTATCTAAGAGGTTAAAAAAAATTATTGAATTTTTTCGATTTTTGGGGGGCTCCCATGATTAAAATGACGTATGAGACAAAACGCAATTATATACTCTATATCAAGCAAAAACAATCCATGAGTTATCTCCAACTGTTATTTTTTTATGATGAAATAGGTAGAGCAAGGTAGGTTTTCTCATGGAAGATTCCCTTAAACAAAATAACAAGAATATGCCTGTATATCAACAATTGGAAAATCAAAATACACAAAATCTATGCTACTTTCCTTGTGTTATTTTATATATTTATAACAGTAACTAGCAATTTGACCAATTCTTCTGCCAACAATCAAGTAAAAAAATATATATATAGTATATAGGTATATACTTAACTAAATAAAACTGATCATAACAAAAAGGCTCTCTCACCTGTAGGAAGTTAGCCCTCATGCGAGTCAATTGGTCGAGCAGAGAAATTCTAGGAATGTCAAAGGGGTTTCTGTACATCTGAGGACTCACTTCCCCTTCACGGACAGCCAGCACGAAGTTAGAGTATTCTGTCACTTGATCACGTAAATGAGACAGCTTATCTGCAAAAGGCAGATTATTAAGAATTGTTTCTCTACACTATGTCAAATACCACTTTGCTTGCTCTTCATACAAGTAGTTACACATAAGTGAAATATAAAGTATTTTTTGAAGACAAATAAGTAAATGATGATCTAAAGTTACTGAAGGAACAATTATATGCATATGTGGTCATAAATATTACCTTGAAGTGTATGGTTTGAAGTGAGGTGTCTGCACAAAGGTCTCCGAGGCTGTACTCTAATGCCCTCATGGACTACACAGCTTGTCTGGGCTAACCGTTTCTCAACCTAAAATTTGTGTGCAAATCTTTTAAAATCAAATGAAACTAAAATGAAAATGAAAATGATATATACTTAATCACCATAGACAAACTTCAAACTAATCATCACTCCAGTGGATTTCTGGACCAATTACAAGTTCTAGATGCTGTCATGCAGTATTCAGTGTCCAAGATATATTAGCCCACTTACGACAGGTATCACTCATATAAGACATCCAGAAAAGTAAACACTACCGGGTGTCCCACCGGTGCGACACTAGATCTGAGCTTGCACTCTGATTTTGTCGCCCATGGCGGGCAGCGCACGAGCAGGTTCCCGGACTCGCCCGCGTGACGATTTTGAAAATATTATTTTCAAATTGAAAATGTACCGTCGCTAGTGGGATACTGTAGTACAATAGGGTTGTCCAGTAGGACTGATAACTCTAAACATGTAAAATCTTAATCTGCACTTGTGTCATTCCAATCTTGACCTACGGTAACTTGGAATATTACAAAATGTGTGTCTGATTTAGTTGCATTGGAAAGCCATAATGCACTGATTGGTAATAATACAGAAAGATCATTATGAAGGAAGATATGCTGGATATGCTACAACACTCGAGATTCATGATATGCGAGATTGTAAAATGGATGTCACAAACGTGCATGTGGTTGGCTGGTGTGAAACACAAATATTATAGCAAGGATAAATAACACCAATAACCCTACGTACTAATACTAATGTAAATGGAAAACATCCCTGCATCACTCATTTTCAATATAAACACAATACACACTATGCACTAAAAAGTGATCACAAACCTCAAGGCATATTCGTTCATACTCAAGCTTGGCTTGGTTTTTTAATCTCTTCAAGTGGTTAGTGACTTGAAAACTGAGAGAGTTGTCAAGGTTGTCTGGTACTAGATTTGGTGCACCCATCCGACCAAGGGCACGTTTCAAGGGCTACGTAGGAAGAAAATTAAGTGAGAAAAAGAAGTCTCTCCAGATATATGGTTCAATTTTTTCATCAGCTGAAATCATACAATGTAAGAAGGATCTCAAGTCCTTATCACTCACTTATTTCAAGACAGAGGAAGAAAAAAAAAAAAAAAAAAAAAAAAAAAAAAAAAAAAACTTACATTGGCATAGTATGGGGGCATAGTTCTGAGATAATTGTCAAACTGTATCCTCCATTCTTTGGTGGGTTTGAGACGATGTGTCTTGAAAAGGTCATCAAGGAGCGGCAGAAGGACTGGGTAGTTGTACGGCATTACAAAAAGGTTCACAGTTTGCAAAGTTGTACTGGCTTTGAGGTAACCAAAGGGGTGTCCTACATCACTATTCTTACTGCTATTAGGTATATAAACCTGAAAAAAAAAAATAATAATTTCCATAAATATTCTCCTGGCAAAAACATTCCTATTCCAAGCACAAGCTTGCAACAAAAACACTAATATTAACCCATTTACGACGGGTGTCCCACATATGAGACAACCAGAAAAAAAAAATTCCTGGGCATCCCACCAGTGTGACACTGGATTGGAGCTTGCGCTCCAATTCCGTTGTGGGCCGCGGCCAGCGCACGGGCAGATTATGGGCAGATTACAGGCCAGCCCCACGCGCCGATTTTGAAGCGGCCCAGGAATAATTATTTTCGGCTTCAAAATATACCAGCGCTAGTGGGTTAAACACAAAAATCATTGTTTTGATCAATTAATCTCTCTCCTTACATCAACAATAAAACATGTATATGAAACTTACCTGCCAACAAACTGTTGGTTGCTTTCTCGAAAGGATGTACTGTGTGAGAGGTGAGGGTTCCAGCTCATACTTGTCAAAAGGGAGATTATCAATCACCATTGGTTCCTGACTCGTGCATGTAAATTTTACATTTGGATGTGCACTTCTTGCAGGCTGAAAGAAAACATTAAGAGTATGTTTATTAAGTTTATAAATATACAGTCTTCTTATTTTGTGATATGAAAAGATAAATGAATACATATGTACAAGGAAAAGTTTTATACTAATACTTTATCATCCAATGAATATAAACATTGCATATCAACTTAATACAGTGATAATTTAAATAATGATATAGTATCTATGAAAAGTATATCAGTGGGAGTTCAAACAAAACTGAAATAACAAATAATATTAGTCAAAATTATTTTCCACTATCCAAAAACAAGCAGTAAACTAGTCAGCATGACAAGAGAAAAATATACCTTAAAAAAAAGGAAAAGAAAAAAAAAAAACAAATCTTAACCAGAGCATTCTTACAAGCGCAAGTGTGTTTATATCAGGCCAAAAGGATTCTGGGATGGGCCAAAAACCTGAAGGACTCCCTCTCTGGGCGGGTCTCGGCACATAGATCATCTTGCGACAGTTGTGCCATGCGTTGCTGGGGGCTGTTGGTGGAAGGGGCATCGAGTTGGGGGTGTGCGGGCGGCCCCCATTCTGGAGCATGTGGCCCAGCATGCCCCCTCCTCCCCCTCCCAGTCCCCTCTCTCCATTGCCGCCACCGTTGGTATCTGTATTATTCTGCTGGTTCTCTTTGTCCACTTCAATCACATCGGGTGCCTCCTTCCCTGAAAAAAATAAAAATAAAAATAATAATAATAATAATTACAATTCAAACTTCTTGTGTATGCTGACACCTTTGCAGCATGATAGCAGTACATTGGATTTCTATAATTTCAGTCCCGCAGATGCTCAATAGCTCATGGGTGTTTGGGAACCTTCCCACTTTAAGCCAGTGTACTGGCTTAAAGAGGTTATTGGTTCAGTGAGACTTCTATTTATCATTATGAATTCCATCTCCTCTCTTGTGGATATTGGACCAGCAACACCCTTTGGATTCATAATGAACCATGATGTCTATTTTTGGGTCCTCAAAGTCAAATGTTTAAGGTTGAAAGGTACAAGCAGCAATCTACAGAAAAAGTAGGCTGAAAAAAGGAGAGAAAGAGCCCCAACTAAAATTACATTTAGTTAACAGATGGGAGAACCTATCAATCATATATTCATCTAAGATATCACAAAATCTATCCCTAGTTCATATGTCAATTCTAATACCAAGGAGAAGCAGTTTACCATCAGAATTGATAGGAGGGGGGTCAGGGCCGATTTTTTCAAAATTTATGACAACCCCACTTTGTACTTTTTGTACTAAGCTGTCAATACATTGTTGGAACATTCGATGAGAACGGACAGCATACGAACGTCCTGTGATAAAGACAAAGTTATATTAACCAACGGCAGCATATCAGACTTGCATATGATCAACAAAAAATATTTTGTATTGACAAATTCATAAAACATAATTCTAAGTTTTTTACATATTCAACTGCTATCAATATTTTCAAAACATCAGATAAACAAATTAATATATGAACCAATAACAATTTAAAAGAAAGATACAAACTGATGAACAAAACAACTGCAAAAATCAAATTTTAAAGTCACCCAGACAACTTACCTCCTGTCTGCTCACAAAGCTTGTCAAGGGGGGAGTTGTCACTCGGGACAAGCCCCATGGGGTCAGGAGCTGGGGTCCCACTGAGCCTCAGCACCAGCCCAAACAGCCGCTGATCCCATCGGAAGATCTCCTTGGTCAGCTCCGCACCGGGGATTGGATTTACTTTCGGCAGAGGGAATATCTAAGGGAGGGTTAGAGGAAGTATTGAAGGTAAAGAGAGGAATGCAAAAATTCATAACATTTTAGTGTCTTCTTTAGAGCCTATGACAATATATGGAAATTTATTAATTAACCCCATATTGTTGGCAAAATGTAGTGTTCACTGCAGCATTGTTTTGTAAATGTCTCTACACACAAGTACCTCCACAAGTGCTGGACCACTATGCATTAACAACCTTCCACAATCCACACCCAACTCTTTGCTGACAGCAGTCTTTTATTTCAACCGATTAACATTGAAGACACTGCAAACTTCAACGTGACATCAATGGCCTTTAACCCATTTACGATGGATATCCCATATATGACACACTTGGAAAAATAAACATTGCCAGTGTGACGTTGGATCAGAGCTCACGCTCCAAATACATTGCGGTCCGCGGCCGGCACACAGGCAGATTCTGGGCCGGCCCCACACGCTAATTTTGTCACCGCCCAGAAACTATTATTTTCGGTTTCAAAATATACCAGCGTTAGTGGGTTAACAAAGAGAAAAGCTTTGGCAAAATGACTCCAATCAGATAGGTGCAAGGTACTCTATTTCACTAGATCACATACACTAATGCCATACATCTATACCCTATACATCCAACAACTGACACCCACAACACCCTAAAAGTACCCTGAGTAGTATGCCTCAGAATCTCACCTTTAACACACACACACACATTGACTATCATGAATAAAGCAAACAGAACACCAGGGTTCCTGATGAGAAACTTACACTTCTGCACACCAGAAATCAAACACATAGCTTACAACATACCTAAAGTAACAATTTTACCTTTGTAACTACAATTTTACTTAATAAACTCTTTATTATTATCATAATTATTATGTATGTATGACAACTGACAGACCCTACGAGCACAACATTGAGAAGCTTGAACAGGTCAACACTAGGGCAGCCAGGTATAGTACACACACTTTCACATGCACACCTGGTATTACAACCAACATAAAAAAACAGATAAATATGGACTTGCTCGAGACACGAAGACAAGGTAACAGACACTCAATCTGGTACAAGAGCACAATCTTATGGACAATAACCTCTTCAATAGAGGTGACGTGTCCATCGTGTCATGAAAAAATTTGGCTTGAGGGGCAGGTGGTGTGAACATACCATCATGGGCAAAACTGTCAGCCGTATGTTGCCAACTTGCCATCATTAGTAAAAGCCAGGGTGATGGAAAAGGCTCGTCACAAATGCATAAACCTCTTGCAGGGTGATTAGACTTGTTTGGATTTTAGAAAGGGGCTTTTGCATTATTCCCATTGATAAACAAGTGTGGAATGTAATGTCTCTAAGCCATGACTGGAGGAGTGACAGCTCCAGGAAGGACACCATTTCCATGCTCACCATCCTATTCCTGGCTGTATTACAGAAAATGGAATATTATGAAAAAATTAAATATATGACTAAAATAAAATATTACTTTTTTTCTTCTTGCACTGAGAGACACATGCCCGGCCTACATGCCGCATGACTGGAGTATCAAGCATTTGCGTAAGCCTAATGCCCATACTTTAGTCCATGTGATTGCCATGAAGCAATTGGATTCAAGGGGTTAATAAACAAGAATACCTACAAGCAGTACATTAATGTAGTACACAAAATTCACATAACAGCAAGTTTCCTTACAACCACACTAACCCCAATCCTTACAAGCACTCATTCTTCCTAATTACCATACTAGAATATTCAAATAGGCTACCTCATCACATCATAGAAACAAGAACACACACACACATCAGATACACTTAAAACCTTCACAGACATATCAAATAAACATATAATACCTCATCCCATCATAGAAACAAGAACTCTTAAAACCTTCACAGACATTTTAAACAAACATAACAAAACAAGCATCTTCACATCAACTTATACCTTAATCTTTTCCTTCACCCCCAGCAACCTATTATATGTGCGTGTTATGCCTTTCCCAGTACCCTAAGCTTGAATATTAAAACTGAGATTGAAAGGAGTCAATTAGTAGACCATGTAAAATCATCTAATTTCACCTTTCCTTGAGTTTACTAATGCTGTCAATATCGATACTGTTATTATTTTTATAAATAATATGGTAATTATAATGTTATTGACATTACTATGAGCAATATAAGAAGCAAAAAAATATTTCCCAAAATCAAGGAAAAGGGTAAAAAGGTGAGATAGGTAGATTGGCTCATTGGTGTCTTAGTATTTGTAGGACCATCTATGTGTAAACACAGTGGGCATGGCATTTATGTAAATGCCTATCCCCAGCAGCATCTGGTTAAAAGCAACTCACTGATTTAATAGGAACTGACTATATATATACACATGTGAGAGAAAGAAAGGGGGATAGAGAGAGGGGAAAAGGGAAAGGCAGGGAAAAGAGATGGGAGAGGGGAAGGGGGGAAAAAGTGGAGATGGGAAATGGGGATGGTGAATGAAGTATGAAAGAAAATAAAAAGGCAGAGAAATAGAAAGAGGAGGGAATGGAAGAATAGATGAGGAGGGGAAGAAGAGGGGGAGAAGAGGAAGGGGAAGGGGAATAGAAGAGGAAGAGAAAAGGAGAAGAGGGGAAAAGAGGAAGGCAGAAGAGAAGAGGAATGAAAAGGGCAGTGGAAGGGGATGGGAAGGTGAGAAGGAAGACAGAGACAAAAGGGGAAGGAAAAGAGGAAGGAGAAATAGAAATGGAATGGCACAGGAAGGGAAGAGGTACAGGAAGGGTAGAAAGGAAAAGAAAAAGGAAAGTAAAAATCAGGAGGGGAGTGGGAAGAAAAAGAATGGGGAGGATGAAAGAGAGACAAAGGAGGAGTTAAAGCACAAGGACAGGCAGAAGGCAAAGAGGAGGAGGAAGGAGGAGAAGGAAGAGGAGGAATGGAGGAAAAGGAAGTGGAGGAAGGAGGAGGAAGAGGAGGATAACAAGAAGGAAGGTAGAAGGAGTCAGAGTAGTAAGAGGAGGGAGAGGAGGAGGAGAAGGAGAGGGTGGACGTGCGACGAGGATGAATATAAGCAGAAGGTCGCACGCGATCGGACACACGAGTGGAGGTGGATGTTATAGTTGCTTATTGCTTGAGTGATATACAATAGTTGTTTAGTTGAGGAGATAGGAAGAGGATGAGTTGTGATTGAGGGAAAGATGAGGAGAAAGATGGACGGGGAGGAGGAGATATTATGGATCGCAGAACAAAGCAAAGAGAAGGAGAAGCTAAATTATGGATTTGTAAATGATGGAGCAATGAAAAGAAAGTGGGTGTAGTGTCTTCATTGATAAATGGAACTGTGGAGAAGGAAAATAGATCTATCTGTGACGTCGCAAGGATTGTCAAAAATTGTGAACAGTGAGAGGAAAAAATTAATTATGCAAGTGCAAATGAATCTGACCAATCTGGAAAAGAAAATGGAGTT